TACTCTATCGATTTATATATTATACATACGTATATAATTTAAACAACATAATATTTAACTATTTCATGAACTTCCAGTATTTAATATTTTGAATAATATATAATATAATAAACAGTAGTAAGTGTATAATACATATAACATGTCATGTTATGTAACATACATATTATTTATATGTCAATATGACCTACATTTATACCTATACTGACTACTTTTATCATAATTTTGTTAGTTAGGGATACTTAAGACTTCTATAACGTCTCCAAATCTTTTTAACGTGTAACGAATTTGTTCGGGTACAAACTTTGACTTGTACACCAAACTACCAATAATGAACACTGCAAACAGCGTATCTAACGGGATGCAAAATTAATTGTGTCCCATGCCATGTTCAACGGGAACAAGGAATAAATGGAATGCTCTGGGTAGAAAGATATTATTATTAATTATTATTTAATGAAAATATAGGGAAGAAACAACAATGTTTTCTTGACTCGTGCACCTTGACACCACATGCAATATTAAATGAGAAAAAGGGAAGCAGCAGTATATACGATCTGTAAAAATTAAAACTTAAAATATTCTTTTCTGCACATTTCTATGGTAACAATAACTGAAAAAAGTGTAATTAAGACACTGATCTTGATGTATAACACGGATATAATGATATAAGATTTAACTACACGTAATATAGTTAGTATCAATTATCTTCTGATCAGTAGCGCAACTAGAACAGAGATTCTAGCGGGGTCTTTTCTTATCCTCTCTGAGTTTACCGAATTACCCCTTACCCAATTTTTAAGATCTATAATATTGATGTATCTATATAGCTTAAATTAGAAACTCTTGTAGCAAAATAAAAAATGAATTTACGTTCAAATTTATTCAGATCATTCACAGTTCTCGTTTACAATAGCACGAAAACAACACTTTACAACATTACAAACTCCTCTGTGTTGCATTTACTATAAATGCTTTCAATGTATAGTGATGTGATCTGTAAACGTATTTTTCAACAATGAAAAGAATTAAAATATTGCTAAACGTTCTACGTTGTCACGAGAAAATTATCTGAAACTCTGACAATAATCTATATCGAAAGAAATTTATAAAAAAACATAATACATAATATTTATTATTATTTATTATATAGTATTATAGTGATGAAATATTGAATTTATTTGAAAATACAGTATCTATCACATTAAAATTAAAATTTAATTGCTTAAAAATATTAATAACACCTATATGGTGCTATATGTAGATTTTATCAATACATTTTTTAACAGTTTAATAGGTATTATTATATTTTTATTCAAATATGATTGAGGCTGTATTTCCTCTCTCCAGGATTTTAACCCTAGTTACGTCTATAGGTCCAATAATCAAATACTCAGGTATGCTACCTATATAAATATATTATAATATTTGTCGATGGTAAAGGTATACAACACACGCAATCAATAAGGCTTATTATCATGTGCACAATACGTCGTATGTATTAAATAATATAACCTATTATTCAAACATCGTATGTATCTTTTTATCGCATTACCAACAAATATTTGGTAAGTATCTAGTCGGATAATTCGGTGATAAGCAACGCAATTCGTAACTAAGTAAGGGTTATGGAGAAATAAATATTTAAAAAAGGTTGGTGAATGAAAAAAAAAAAATTAATGGAGATACTTAAATTTACCATAATTCATATACAAGTTTAATAACTAACAATACATCAAATCTCAGATCAACGATTTATTTATTTTAGTTATTCATTTTTCTCAGCTATTTGCATTTCAAATTTGTATATGACATACTCGAGATCGTATAGATATCGGACTACCTATAAACGAACACGGGTTTGTAAATAAAAAAAAATTCGGTTCAATAACTCAAAATTAAATTTTTTAACAACGACATTATTTTATTAATATTTATTCGCGAATTTGAATTTTAAAACGCATGTACATATAGGTATTTTTTCAAAATTAATTTAAAGAAAAGTAAACTTAGTTGAATCAGAATTCATATTATTGGCCTAATTGCATAGAATTGCTATTCAAAATTTTCCTTTCCCTTAGTATTATATTCCTAGTATTCCACAAATTCCTCTAGCATTAAACAATTTTTCTAAAAAACTTAAAATTAAATTATCATATTACTGTTTTATTTTTATAGTTCATACATATTTATATCGTAAAGAATCTACATAAAATATCTTACCAACTATCAACATTCAACATACATTTCAAGGCGAACCTAGATGCAATTTCTAAGCATATACATAATAATAATATATTAATCGACTAACGGATTTACCCGTCGCGGTTTTGCCCGCAAAACTTTAATAGGTATATAATAAAAAATTATTATTGATGACAATTGTATTATAAAATTTCTCTATAAACTGTATTTGATGTATTTCTATTTTATCCCAAAATTACTAAACTTGTGGGTACACTGATTCTGGAGCCTAACAAATGTGAACTAGAAATTACTCGATAACCACTAGTAAAGTGTTTGTACCACGAAATTGTTTTAATTAAATTTAAGTTACCTAGTCTAATATTTTGTATGGCTATCTATGTTAAGATCTCTTTCACAAGTTCGTAAATATATGCATACAATTTTTCTAAACAAACTACAAGGAAAGACAAAAAAAAACTTTTTCAATTTCAATATATGTAGCTAGTGAAATTATATACAAATTGCAAAGGTTTAATTTCTAGTCTAAATCGATTTGATACTTTTGATTTTTATTACATTCATATTTTATAGCAAAAAAAATTATTAATATTATTAAATACAAAACTAAAATAACCCATCTAAATGTACGAAGGCATATCTCACTGCTGTCTCTTCTACTGAAATAACGATTATAATCAAAGTTTAATTAACTTTAAGCACCTACAGAACTCTAGTTTTAATATAAGAATAAATTTACCAACTATCAAATTTAAAGGTAAGAATATGTATATGCTATGTGCGTTGATTTTTTATGATTTTTTTTTAAGCTTGTGGTGTAATATGCTCATAACTTGCTTAAAAATTAAAATAAGTAGGTACATTGTTAACAACAAATATACAAATATAGATAAGTTATATTCATAATATATTATTAGTAAATATAATAATTATTTCTATAATATTCTTACTACCTAACTGAAGTCAAGTCATGGGACCACTAATGAGTCTCATCCTAATATTGAACCTTAGAAAAACAACATAAAATTGGTAATGCTAAACGCAAATTTGCTACCTGCTTTGTATTATAACGTAGATATATTAATTGTAAGAGCGAATTGCATGCGCTGCCCGGAGATACACATGTAGATATTGCGCATCAACTTCAATCAAAAAAGCTTATTAAAATTTAAAAATTTTAACCATCATTGACAAAATACCTCCGATTTTATATAAATTATAAATTGATTAGGTTCTTTTTCTCTAGTTATTCTTAATGTTTAAATAGATTACTAAGAAAATCAAAAAAAACAACAGTATTTTCATAGTTCCTACTATATAGGTAATAGAACTCTGAGCTAATAATAATTTTGAAACTTGTATAATACCTAAAAAAATACATAGAAAAAAATATAAATGGGTACAATAGAATATAATTGTTATACCGATGCATACTTCAATTCACTCAGAATCATATACATTTACATATATATAATAATAGAAATTCCTATTTTGTAGAACGGATGAAGACTATATTAATTTAGTCATATAGTTTCATCTAGTAAAATCATGATGATTACAAAATTAAAAATGCATATGTTTATAACTGCAATACATGTCAATATTCCACATTTTTAGCAATTTAAATCATCTTGAAGTATTACTCAATAAAGGAATAACTCTACGATCAACCTAATTTTTTTTAACGAGAATTAAGATAATAAAAAGTAAATCTAAATACGCAGTATAAGTGTTTATTTCCATACAAATAAATTAATTTAAATACGTGCTCAAAACAGTGTCTATTCTTTATCCGAGACACCATTATTTTTAACGTATTTTCTTGGAATCGGTCTCGAACAAAATTTGTTCTGTGACAATGTTTTAAAAAGTTATGATATTTTTCCAATATTTACATTCGATCAAAAAAGATTATTAAACAATTTTTTGAATGCGATTTATTTTTTTGGAATAAACGGGCCTCAATAATTGAATTTAGTTTTATTTCCTAACAATAAAATACCAGGTTTCACTGTCCTCATTAAAAAAACTTGTGAGAAGACCCAAAATATTAAATATTATAATGATAAAAAAGCTCTAGCCGATAATATTAGGTCACTTTTTCCAAAATATAAATATAAAATAAACTCTAAACAATTTACGCTTCACAACCAAAATTAAACGTTTCGTAAAAAATAAAAGTAAGTTCACTTAATCAATTAGATATTTATAAGAAAACATGAAAACAAAAAAATTAAATTCCAATAGGGTGTTCGTGATAATGTTCTTAATAATATATATACGCATAATAAACACTACTTAAAATCGGTAATTTATAACTTAAAAGTTATCGGAAAATCAAAATAAATAAAATAATTATCAACTTGAATTTATTAATTATAAATTACCAAAAGTACATTAAAGTAAAATTATTTATAAATGTTTAGCTGAACAAATATATTATTTATTTTTTTTTTATTTTTACAAAAAATAATTCCAAGTATTACAATTCATTTTTTCTAAATTTATTTTAGAATAATATCAATGTATATTCTTATGGCACATATATATTAATCTTAGTCGTGTATAAAGTATAATTGGACACGTATAAATAATATTTAACTAGTAAAAAACACTTGAACACGTTTTATTATCACACAGTATAGGACATCTTTTAAAATAAAATTATTAATAAAAATACACTTATTTCTAAAGACAATTATAAAATTATTTTAAATATAAAAGTGATGTAAATAAAAAGATAATATTGAAAAATAAACTGTGTGATGATAAATTCCAATAAAAAATGTTGAGATATTTCGTACGTCTTAAATTTTATCACTTATCAGTATGATTACATTATACTTATAAACTGAAATTATAAATTATCTAACATCTTTGGTATTATCAACGATATATACCCAATAGCCACTAACTTTATTATAATTATTATTTATGAATAAGAATGGATGTGAGGCTCACACACATACGATCAAACCAAACGTGGAAAACATCTATTAGGTACTCTCATTAAAAAGTATAAAGATAAGTAAAATTATTTAATCTTTCATTATTGAAGTGAAAACTTTCGAGTGGTGAAGAAAATCGGAGTACAACAAAACCATGGTCAAAAAATATTATAACACGCTGAAAAATAGTTGGACCAATTGCAATCTGCAATCAAGCGCACAAACCACGCGCGGCCATAGTGCCGACTAGAGAACTGACGTGAAAATAAAAATTGTGTACACAATCGACACGTTTCAGTCGAAAATCACTGGTTTAAAATTTAGTTTTTGAAACGAAAAAAAAAAAAACGATAAGCGGTTTTCTAAAAATCTCGGATATAATAATACGATGAAATTTATCGAGAAGTTTACGCTATTACCTACTTTGTGTAAATTAGGAACAATTGCTTCAGACACACGTTTTCCGTGCACAACGACCCGTCTAGCACCACGAACCACAATATACGTATCATTTAAGACGAGGGAGCAGCGCTCGAAGCCGACAACAAAATTGGCTCGACCTCGTGTAGGATGCACAGGTTGTTGACGGTCACGATGTCTGCGTAGACCTTTTGCTCGAGCAACACCTTGACGGGCATCCACGAAACGAGCGCCATGCCGCCGTTATCGCCGGGCACCAGACACCCGACGGCCTTGGCCAACACGGCCAGCCAGCCGCCGTGATGAGCGCTGCTGAACTTGAGGAACACGAGCGCGTGACCGTAGACGCGGTCGGGCTTGACCAGGCCGTACGTGTCGAACATCTTGGCCACGGCGTAAACGTTGGCCACCGATAGCTGCGTGTACAACGGATAGCCGACGATGACCAGGTCGTCGCCGTCGGACAGGGACCGCAACGCGTCCACGATGGCCACCAGGCACCGGTGCTGCAGTGCGGTGTTGTCGGAAGCGTGCTCGTCGATAACTTCCGTCAGATCGCAAACGGCCGCGCGTGGCCGATCGATCTTGGCGCGGTAGTGCGACTGCCGGCACCCGGCGTCCACGGCACCTCCGCCGCCGCGGACCCGCGGGAACCTGGACAGCACGCGCTGCCTGTAGTAAATCATCGCCTCGCAACAAAATTTGGAACCCTTGACCGCGGTCACCGGTTTTCCCAAACGAAACGCCACGTCCGGCAGCCGGTACGCGAGGTGCACGCGCCTGTGCCAAACCACGTCGTCGTCCATTTGCCGCTGCTGTGACGCGCTCCACTCGTGGCACTGGCCCACTTCCCGATACAGCGCGGCCGCCTCCTGCGCCGCGTCCATGTTCCGGATTCGCGTCTTCTCCGAGTACGACAGGCCGCGCGGCGGCTTCCGGCCGATCCGCGCCCGATCCCTCCAGTTGGTCTTGTGGCCGAAGTTGTTCGGCGACACGGACGTTAGCTCCCGTTTGTACCGAATCGGCCGCAAGCCCAGTCTGACCACGAACTCCCGGCACAAGGACGCCTGCACCGGTTTCATCTTGCAGTAGAGTGTCTCCCGGACCGGCAGAGCGACTACGTTGTCGTCGATCGTGCGCATCTGCAAGCGGGCAAAGTACTCGGCGCACTCGAACAGCCGCTGCCTGAACTCGACCGGCACCAGCGACAACGGGAACATGCTGCAGGCGCCTCCGCCAAGGCTCGGTCGCCGGTGCCGGTCGTACGCGTAGTACGCTCGCACATACGGCATGGCCTCAGATCGGCCCCTATAACCCTTACACACTACGTACACTTCCGAGTTGCCGGGCTTACTGGTCGCCGGTTTCCTGAGCACCACTGACCGGAACAGGCAGCACAGCAGGAACATTCGGCAAATGGTGTTGCACTCGAACACGGTGAACGCCTTCAGCACCAGCGACCCGCCGTCCCGGAGTACGTTGAGCGCCACCATGGTCTCGTGGTCGTGCAACCGGGACACGACTGTCTCCTGTTCGCCGGGGTCGTCCGAACAGTCGATGCTCCCGTCCGCGGTCACCAGCCAGGCGCCCTTGCCGCCGAACCGATCCAGAACCGTCCGGTAAAGGTGTTCGGCGTACCCCGGTTGGAATATGTCGCCCGTGTAATCGGGACCGAATTCCCAGTTCGGCAGCGTGTGCAACATCAGCCGGTCGTCGGTCACAATGTCCGGATGACCGTTGGACTCGTGATGCGGATTTAACGTCATCGCCAACCAGTCGAGCCGCAGTTGTTCGTAGTTGATGGCCAGGAAATGATTGAGAGCCGCGATAAATGCGCCGGGCGCCTCGCACAGATGTACGCTGGTGAACGACGTACCGCCTTCCCCGTGGATCTCGTCCAGGGATACCAGGTCCGAACTCCACGCGATCTCGTAGAACTTGCACCACGCCTGCGTCAAGAAGTCCGGTCGCACGTGCCTCCTAACGTGGTTCACCACCTGGCCGGCCGGATTCAGTTTGCCCGTGTGCACGTGCCACGCGTCTAAATCGAAATCGTTCAATTTCTGTTTAGTACGGTTCAACGCAGCTTTCAGTTCTTGGAACTCGTTCAATTTCCATTCGGGCTCGGTGTACATGGCGTTAGCGTCCGGCAATGGCCAACCGGATTTTAAAACGAACATCTTGCAAAACTCTTTGTCGTGTACAAAGTACTCGTCCGTCGCCGCCGCCGCCGTCTGTTCTAATTCTTCGAGGAAAATCATTTTCTCCAAACTCTGTCCGGCTTAGTTGCAGTTTTCACATGCATAAAAATTTTACCATCGCGACTTTTAGTTCTTTTTTTTCTGATACAGTGGTTATATTATTTCTACCTGAAATCACGGTAGGATGGTGTATTAATCATACAACAAATTATTTTTAAGACATTTCAATAACGGCACAGTAATTATATTGAAAATCTAGTGTTTTGCTTTCTGCCCTCAATAATTGAACGGAAAATTCAAAACACCAAAAATTACAATTTATAAATGATATTACCTAATATAAATATGTTGATAAAAGTAAGTATTATATATTCAATTTTAAAGGGCTATAGAAATTATCTTATAAATAATTGTATTTAAAACATGCATTTTTTAGTATCAATATCACTAAAGACTAACCAACTGCTAACACAGCTGCTATCAACTAAACATACTGTGAATATCGTTTATATTCATATTTTACTATTCTATTAAAAATTGTCATTCGTAATGTATAATATTGATTAAGATGATGTCAATGCACTTATTTTCACTCTCTGGACCACTTGCAACATAGCAAATTTTAATTCAACAAAACCAATCTTGTGTTATTTGTCTTAATATTAAAATTAAAGATAAGAATTTATTGTGCCATAAAAACTTTATTACAATATTTAATTTTTATGTAATTTATAATTTATAAATATGCAAAATATTACAATTTAAGGTAGTCATTATATTATTATCACAGAAAAATTGAAAGACCGTAAAAAAATTTAACCTATAAATACAGATAATATGTACTATAATTTATATAATAAGACAACTTACTATAATAGTCATTACTCATAAAATTCATGACACAAGATTAGTTCAGCTGTATTCAAATTGTTTATGTTGCACATGAGTCAAAGAGAAAAAACAAAATACTAAAATAAATTTAATGTTATAATTATCATTAGCGTTATAAATTATAATATATTAATATAAAATCATTTATGCCTTTTTGTATACTAGTATCATAACTTTTTTATTTACGGTATACTTAATCAAAAAAATGTTTAAAAGAAGCAGAATTAAAAACTGAATCCGATGAAAATTTCTGGGATATATTACAATCAAATATTAAAATATAACTTGATTAATTTTATAGATAATTTTTCTTTATAACAATAAAGAAAAAAACAAATTAAATTTTATAATTAATTATAGTAATATATTATACCATCTAAAATTTTAAAATTTTAACTAGTTATTAGTGGTTAAAATCTAATCCAATTCTTTTAAATTGCCTGTAAATATTATCTATACAATAATAGATATACAATCATTTTTGCTTAACAAAACCCTATACAGATATCATATTACATGTTAATACATACTTAAATAAATGAATAAATTATCAACATAATTGTGTTAATTTTTATAGATTAATAGTTTATTGTTTATTTATTTAGTCTTTAGTTAGGTATATGAAGCTTAAAAACCAATCTTAGAATGTTTTAAACACACTCAAATATCTGAATATCTATAAAATATATTAATGACGATGTCATCTTGAGAAAAAAACACCACAAACAATTCTTTTCACACAGTCATTAAAATAAATAAATAATCCACAATTAATATTATGAATGATCAATAAAATTATGTGTTTATTTTTATCGCTAATAATATTATTTAATTTTTGTTTTAAAACACTATTATTTCATATTACATTGAAGCTCAAGCACACACAGAACATAATCATTTATCTTATAATTTATCAATCGGTATACTTAGTACTAAAATTAATAAATTGAAATAAAAATAACACAAAACTATATTAAGTTAAAACTATTACATATTACATTTTTACAATGCATAAATTGAGATAAATAAAAAATAAACATTTTAATTCTTTAATACAAATATTATTTATTGTGATGTGTTTTGTATGGTATTAAAAACTGAAAGTATCTATTTTTAGGATAAGGTAAGTAACTATTCAATAAGGTTTATTTTTTGGTTAGGAACTTGATTTAGCTTATATTAAAGATTATATTAAATATAATTTGGTAGTAATGCTATATTTAGATATTTTTAATACTTTAAAAAAATAGGTCATTCATAATTAAGAGTCTAAGAATGTATTTACAACTTGTAACAGCCTAAAGACAACATTAAATAGAATTAATTTTCATACTTAGCATTCATATACCAATTCAGCTGGCGTAATAAAGCAATTTAAAATCAATTACTAAAATGAGTAGGTAGTTTATTAAAAGGATATGAATATGATAGAGTGTAGTATTATTTTTGATTATTTTTTTTTATTCATTCATAAAGCAAAGTATAAGTTATAACCAAAAACAATTTTTTTTTTAATAATTTATAATAAAATTATGAAAGAACTAAGAAATAATACTAATACAAATTTTCAACAATGTTGTAGTGAATAATATTTATCAAATATGTTAATAAAAAATGAATAGAACTATTAAATATGTACAAATAGTATAGACTCCAAATTGTAATAATTTAGACTATTAATATATGTATTAGGTGTATTAGCTTTTTATAATATAAAAAACAAGTGTCAAGTACGTAGATAATGTTTAAAACAATTTCACAGATTTAACAAAACATATTATTTTTTGTTTAGCTCTTTCAATGCAAACAAAAATTATAGTTTAAACTTAATTTAAATATTCAGATTTAGATATATAAATATACAAGTATTGTGAATCAGTTGTCAAAAATAAATTGTCCGTTAAGAGCCTCAAATTTTACATAGCTTTTAAAATAAAAATGAATGAACAATAAAATAAATAACATTTAAAACAAGCATTCAAATTAATTTACTTTAAAATATATAATCAACATAATAACCTGTAAATATTGTACTTAGTAGCCAATGGCAAGTAGACTTTTTGAGGAAATTGTCTTAAGACTAAAATGGATAAGACCCAAGCAATTAATTTAGTATGGTAAATGTTTTTAATAATAATAATTATTATTATTATTATATTAACTGAAAAAAAAAAAGTTAATTAAAAACTATGAATGCATAGGTGATCAAAAAATTAGTTTATCTCAAGTCGAAAATTATTCAATACCTATGTTGCTGTTAGTAACTGTATAATAAATAATTTGTAAGAACATAATATTATACTTGTAAATGCCAAGGATTATCATAAATAAAATCAATCGTAACATAGGTAATACTGTTCAACTGAATTATTTTTCACAGCAGTTACCATTAAACTGTAATCTGACATTTAACATATCAGAAAAATATAATATATTATAGGTACCTGTGAAATGATTTTATTTAAATGCCATTGGTTTTTAAGATGATGCTTTGTTAAAAAATGCAAACAACAAACAATTGATACGAGCATCAATAAATTAAATAAAACTAATGACTTAAAAATAAAGTATAATTTAATTAACGATTTTTACTATTTATGAGCATTTAGAATTGCGTTGTGCCCTTGTACTCTAACAAGTATAACAAGTATAACAATTAACAAGAAACTACTTAAGTACTTATTGATAATATGATTATCTACAATAAATTTGATAAAATTATCACCACATGGCACATGGTATATGATAGGTATAGACAAATATTGATGAAAAACGCATATTTTAATATAACACATAGTGACCACAACGCACGTGATAGCTGCAGTAAAATGATAATATGATATTCATATATTCATGATAGTAAATAGTAATTCATAATACAAATATTTGAAACTATTAATAACTAATATAAATCAATTAAATATTAATATAATAATATAGCTACTAGCTATAAGGTATGTCGTATGTATACACATAATATATAATATGTTATATGATGACATTAATAGTGAATGCTTGATGTGTACTCGAATAATCGTCAATTAAGCATTCAAACAAGTTTAACGTTTCTAGTTTTGTTTTATTTTTTGGATTTTATGATATGAAGCGAAATCGAAATGAAACCAATGGATTTGAAAAGTGGGTATGTACCAAACAAAAATAAATAGTAAAACAGTAATTGAAAATCTGTTTATCAATTGGTTTTTCAGGGTGGCTATATGGAAGCCAAGAAGACCAAACTTGAAAAACAATTCACAGAAAAAGCTGCTGGTGATAGTAACCATGTGAAAAGTCAAATTTTCAAAGGCATTTCGATCTTTGTCAATGGTTATACTTGTATGTATAACCAATAACTATAATTACTAGTTATTTTAATTCGTAAATCTAGAATTTAAGTCTTATGGATATAAATAGAACATTATTCTAGTTCATAGTACATTTTCACTCTTTACTTTCGCCTAAATTTAATAATATAAAAGTTTGAATAATACTTTCTATTTTGTATATGTGTTGTGAATTACATAAATAAGTATTATACCCTCAAATTATTGTGCATCACACTTTAATATTAACATTATCCTATCATCATAAAAATTTTAAATTGTAATTATTACTTACTGTACTTGTAATAGCACCTAATGTGCTGAAACATTTTAACAATAATTAATAAAAAAAAAAAATCCTATCATCAATAAATAATTCTTGTCCAGTAACACCTAGATTTAAAATAAAATATTTTTACTAAGCAAAATAGAATTACACTAAACCCTTTATAGTTCGGATGAATTCAGACTGAGTATCGTCCGTACTACTGAAGGGTTTTCAAGATTACCTACTCTAAGATTTTTATTTTTAATTCCACCACTTTTATATGTATTGCACTTTAAATTACAAAAATAATAAATAACTTAAACATAATGAATTACAAACAAAAATGTTTATAAAAATAAAACTTAAGTATAGTAGTCAGTAATATTTTTCTGAAGAATTCTGAACAAACTACAAATGGAAGTACTATTCTGTATGTTATTGTATATTATTGTTGAGCTACAACATTTTAAATAAATATTTTTGTTCTAAGTTCTTATTGTATAATATCTAATTATTTTATTCTCTCTAACAGGTAAATGCTCATAATTATAAACTTAAAAGTTTATTTATTTATATATTATATATGTCAGTGTGAATTTATATCTTTACTATTATTAATATTAAGCCCAATATACTAAAATTATTGTACCTATCTAATATGTGTTTTAGTACCTTCAGCTAATGAATTGAAACGTATTATGATGGAGAATGGAGGAATTTATCATCATTACCACAGACCTAATATTACAACACATATAATAGCAAGCAATTTACCAACGGCTAAATTAAAACTACTTAAACAGTTCAAAGTTGTAAAACCTGAATGGATATCTGATAGTCTAAAAGATGGAAAACTTTTAAATTATGAAAATTATTTATTGTTTATTGATAATCCAAATCAGCCAAAGATTGATTTCCCAATCCGTGCAAAAAATGCATCAGAACCAACATTTCTATCAGAATTTTATAACAATTCTAGATTGCACTTAATATCAACTATGGCAACAACGTTCAAACATTTAGTAAATGATACACGAAAACGGAATCAAACAGATTATCCAGGGCGACAACGATTAAAGAATTGGATTGAACAAAATAGAGTTAAAGATATGTTATCGCATGACTCTGAACTTAACAATGACAAAATAATCATGCATATTGACATGGATTGTTTTTTTGTGTCTGCTGGCTTGGTTGAAAAACCTGAACTTAGAGGGTTGCCTGTAGCCGTTACACATGCCAAAGGAAACTTGTCTAAGCAAAGAGAAGGAGTAGATCGTGGAACAGAGTTTGGTTTATACGTTAAACGCTGGAAAGGTGATGATGATGAAAATGTCGATGAAGAAGAAGAAAAAGTACATGAAATTAAACCTCGATCAACTAAAAGAGATGGCATTAATGAAACAGATTCAATGGCAGAGATTGCTTGTTGTAGTTATGAAGCTAGAAAAGTCGGTATTAAAAATGGTATGCTAGTTGGTCAAGCATTAAAGATGTGTCCAGCTCTAAAATTAATACCATATAATTTTGAACAATATAAAAAAGTAGCTCATACTTTATATGCTCATATTCTGAATGAGTAAGTATTATCAATCATTAAACAAAATTATAAATTATAAATTTTAATCTATGTAATTAAAATTATGAATTTTAATGTATGTAATTAAAAATTATAGATCTTAAATGCAATATATGTTATACCCTAAATAACGGATAGATGATTTCCATAGTTGTATTTACAACTATTTAATACTTTTAATTTTTAAGTGTTCTTCTTCCAATTTTAGTTATGCCCTATTGGTTAAAAGCTGAGGGTCTCTATGATATTTTACTCTAGGGTGATATAAAAAATTTAAAACTTGAGGTCTAAACATTTAAAATCACCTTTACAACTTTTAATTTTATAAAAATGCAATGAACATATTATTAATAAATAAATTCAAGTTCTTACAGTTGTTATAACATACCATTGTTTAAAGAAGTGTGTATACTTAATAATTTGTGCGGTATTTACATTTAATAATTAATATCAAATGTTGTTAAACTATAATAAATGTACAAAATGACTTACAAACTATTTGTATACTCTTGAATACAAATTGATTTTTTTATATTAATTAATTAATAATTTATGTAAAAATTATTATTTATATCTAATTGTAGGTTTTTAGTTCATGTTTACCTGATTTTTTTAATTTTATGTGGTTTGCTTAAAGTTGTTAATTTAAAAATTAAAAAATTCCATACTTAAATTATTTAAATTAATTATTGACATTTATTTTTATTGATTTCACTCTAAAATAAGTACATATATTTTATTATTTTACTTTTATAGCTATACATTAGATGTGGAAGCTGTTAGTTGTGATGAATTGTATTTAGATTGTTCAAATATTTTGGAAATAACAAAAGCATCACCTTTTGAATTAGCTACATTTCTACGAAAAGAAATAAAAGTATAAATTGTTTAAAATATTTAAAAACTTATAATTTGTATATATTTCATTATACTGTTAATTTTTATTTTATAGGAAAAAACTCAGTGTCCATGTTCTACTGGCATTGGCTCAAATTGTCTGCTCGCTAGGTTAGCCACTAAAAAAGCCAAACCAGATGGTCAATTTTATTTGGAACCTGGTATTGTTATGGATTTTATGAAGAACATAGATATATCTGATGTACCAGGTAATTCAAAACAAAAATTTTGGTTATTACCAGGCCAAAGATTTTTCTGAAAAATCAGGCAGTGGCGTATCCAGGGGGGGGGGGCACGGGGGCCATGCCCTTTCCCCTCGTTGGCCTTATTTACTAGATTTTGTTTTAAAGATTTAAATGTATTTGTATGCATGAGCGCATACTACAATAATACTTTTATACCAGCATTACATACACTTACAATTTTGTTGGGATTAACCCGTTTTTATTATTAAATTACTATTACTATTTATTATTATGTATATATATATATATATATATTAACTTAATGACTGATTGAAAATATAAACAAATTATTTGCACTATAAACATTAAATATTTGGTTTATTTTATTTTTTTTGTATCTATATTTTGTATATATGGTAAAATTTTAGACATTGTGTGCCCCCCCCCCCCCTAAAAAAAATCCTGGATACGCCACTGAAACCAGGATACACATTTTTATAACAATAGATAATATTTGATTTCTAATTAAAAATAAACACTGGTAAATAGTAATAATTCTAAATGAAATGATACCCATAAAATATATTCATGTTATTTTGATCAAACTAATTTCTAAATATATTTTAGTTTAATATAAATTTAGTCGTTGACCATGTTATTATAATTATGTGCTATTATAACATAGCAGTATTGAATTCTAGTATTTGATTTGATTAGGTTTAAACACAAACTTAAAAATTGATTTGTTTTTAAATTTTGATAAATATGTATTTGTTTTGGCTTTTTGTTACATAGAAATCTACATTCTGATAAATGACTAATATGCATTGCTTTTAATTATAAATATTAAATACTCAACTTAATATAGGTGTTGGAAGGACCTTGGGACATAAATTGTCAACACTCGGTATCAGTACATGTGGTGAATTAAGTGCATTGTCACTTCAAACACTTCAGAATGAATTTGGAAACAAGACTGGACTTTCATTGTATAAGTAAATTTTCTATAGATTGCTTATTATTATAAATTGCAAAAAAGGGTTTTTTACTACCTGTGTGTATAATATTTAATATTTTATTATATAAGAGAATTAAAATGTTTAAATCTTATGATTGCTCAAACTAAGGCCATCAATATATAAATATCAGTTATTGATTGAGTTTAAGATTACATTTATGCTAATGTGCTAATATATTATGTTTTATATTAAAATAAATTACTACAAGGAATTAAAAATATGATATACAATAATTTAAAATAAAAAAAAATAGATCTTTAAATATAAGTATAATCACTCAAAATAGATCACAAATATATTCAATGTTAGTGTTAAAAATATTTTTTATTTATAGTTGTGTTTATTAGGATATT